GCTGACGCCAGCCTCAGTCCACTCCTTGTGAAGCTCCCCCAAATTCTTGAATGCATTTTGCCTGACAATCCTCTCAAGGCTGCGGTTATCCCTTTTGCTGGTGCACCTTTTCCTACCACACTTTTTCCTTCCACTCAACTTTCTATGAATATGCTTGGATACAGCACTCTGTGAACAACCAGCTTCTTTAGCAATTAACTTTTGTGTCAATGACTGTCTTCTGGACATCTGTCAAGTCAGCAGTCTTCCCCATGATTGTGTAGCCTACTGACCCAGACTGAGAGACCATTTAAAGGCTCAGGAAACCTTTGCAGGTGTTTTGAGGTAATTCGCTGATTAGGGAGTGACAACATAACTTTCCAATATTGAACTTTTTCACAATATTCTAATTTTCTGAGACACTGAATTTTGGGTTTTCATTATCTGTAAGCCATAATCATCAATTTCAAGAAATAAAGGCTTGAAATATTTCACTCTATGTGTAATGAATCTATATAATATATGGGTTTCACTTTCTGAAATGAGTGAAAAAAAATATTGACCTTTTTCATGATATTATAATTTTTTGAGATGTACCTGTATTCACTACATTACTGCATGGAAACAAGTGAATTTTACGTGAACGCCTTTTTTGTTTCACACTCTGTGTGAACAGACCTTCTGTTCTGCGCTTTGTGTTACCCAATAAATACTCTGTCATTAAACGTGTCCGCAGGTCCGGTCCTCAGGTTGTTCTCATTGGCGATCATCTCTTTCACCCATTCCACCCATGTAAAGAGACGCAATATTCCCGCATCTGCCATGGCCTCAACAAAGTTAGCATCCTCCACTGTGTCCCCTGCATCAGCCAGAGCCAAACGCATACCTACAATACAGATAGACAGAGACAGGTTAGCATGGGTTTAATGAGGTTTATGGCATTCACATTCATAAATCTCCTTGACAGGTCACATAAAAAAAAACATATATCCTCTTTTAGAGGATCAGAAAGTTAGACTTTATATGCATTAGGATTCATCCTATTCCTGCTGCAGTAACAGTCTGACTGCATGTAAAGTGTTTGGCCTTCAAATGAGCCGCTATTTATAAAGGACTTACCATCTGCTGAAAACTTGGCAATGGCTTGACTCAAAGTGAGAAAGTTGCCAGTGGACTTGGACATCTGGTGGGTATAAACACCTAATTAGACAACTGAAGAGGACCATCCACAACATGTGTGTTCATAAATACAGAGGAACGAACTAAAACTATTTTGTTAATTGAAATACAACTGAAAAAAATTAAATACATACATAAAAAAAAAAAAAAAAAACTTGACATTAAGAAATGTTGCCTTGGCAACTAACTGACTAAAGTACTAAAATGACTAAAACTGAAATAAAAATCAGTTAAAGCCAAAAATAAATATTTGAAACAACAAAAGCACATAACATTACTAAAACTTAAATTAAAAATGAAAATATAAAATGAAATTAAATCAAAATGGTAATAAATAATATAATAGTAGGGTTTTTGTTAAGAGATTTATACATAAATTAGTAAAGAAATTCTCAGAAATCTGGCCCTCACAATTACACTGAAGTACATTTTATTCTACTGTAGCTAAGTTTAGAGCAAACTCGGTGTATGTTTTTCCTGACAAGAACAACAGAAAAGGAATATTAATTCACCTTTTCAGAGTTTAGCAAAAGATGACCGTTGGCACGTACTGCTTTTGGCCATTTGCCACTATCATGAAAAAGACAACAAACAAAAAAAAAACATACAATTTGCAAAAAGTGTGAAAATGTGTAGCAATGAGGGTGTGACAAATTGAAATTAAACCGCTACATTACTACTTTTGTAATGTAATCTGCATTTTTTTTTCTACACACGTAAACTGCAGTGTACCTGTCATTGGGCCACATGGCTACATGATTGTAGAGGTAATAGGAGAGGTGGTTTGGCACCAGGTCTTTCCCTGATACTCTGACATCTACAGGGTACCAGAACTCAAACTCCCTCCTGAGCTTCTGCAGCTTTTCCTTTGGGATGTCTGTCTTTGGGAAAGGTGCTGTTTTGAAGAAGACGTAATCCCACACCTCCCTCGTCATTTGCTCTGGTCTAAAGGGAGGAAATGTGTTTTTCTGTAACACTTTTGCTATTTTTACTCAAGCGACAATGAACGTGCGTGGCAGTATCTTCAGATGGTCAGGAACAACATTTGCCATGTCATTTTTGAGAGTTTGACAAATGTGACCCTGGACCACAAAACCAGTCATACGGGTCAATTTAATTAAATACATACATAAAAAAAAAAAAAAAAACTTGACATTAAGAAATGTTGCCTTGGCAACTAACTGACTAAAGTACTAAAATGACTAAAACTGAAATAAAAATCAGTTAAAGCCAAAAATAAATATTTGAAACAACAAAAGCACATAACATTACTAAAACTTAAATTAAAAATGAAAATATAAAATGAAATTAAATCAAAATGGTAATAAATAATATAATAGTAGGGTTTTTGTTAAGAGATTTATACATAAATTAGTAAAGAAATTCTCAGAAATCTGGCCCTCACAATTACACTGAAGTACATTTTATTCTACTGTAGCTAAGTTTAGAGCAAACTCGGTGTATGTTTTTCCTGACAAGAACAACAGAAAAGGAATATTAATTCACCTTTTCAGAGTTTAGCAAAAGATGACCGTTGGCACGTACTGCTTTTGGCCATTTGCCACTATCATGAAAAAGACAACAAACAAAAAAAAAACATACAATTTGCAAAAAGTGTGAAAATGTGTAGCAATGAGGGTGTGACAAATTGAAATTAAACCGCTACATTACTACTTTTGTAATGTAATCTGCATTTTTTTTTCTACACACGTAAACTGCAGTGTACCTGTCATTGGGCCACATGGCTACATGATTGTAGAGGTAATAGGAGAGGTGGTTTGGCACCAGGTCTTTCCCTGATACTCTCACATCTACAGGGTACCAGAACTCAAACTCCCTCCTGAGCTTCTGCAGCTTTTCCTTTGGGATGTCTGTCTTTGGGAAAGGTGCTGTTTTGAAGAAGACGTAATCCCACACCTCCCTCGTCATTTGCTCTGGTCTAAAGGGAGGAAATGTGTTTTTCTGTAACACTTTTGCTATTTTTACTCAAGCGACAATGAACGTGCGTGGCAGTATCTTCAGATGGTCAGGAACAACATTTGCCATGTCATTTTTGAGAGTTTGACAAATGTGACCCTGGACCACAAAACCAGTCATACGGGTCAATTTTTCGAAATTGAGATTTATACATCATCTGAAAGCTGAATAAATAAGCTTTCCATTGATGTATGATGTGGTCCAGGGTCACAGATTTTATATTAAAGTTTACCTTTTCAGTGAATTCTTACAAAATTTCTATTTTTACTCAATGGAATAGTATATTGTCCATTATATTTTTGCTGGATTCATCATCTGAACACTGTGGGGCTGTTAAATGCAAGCATATATTAGGGTACATTTTACTTTTTTTTTTATGTTATCTCTGTTCTCAAAATTAAGTTGCTATATAAAGTTTATATGTAAAATTTACTTTAATTATTTGACTACCTGCCCCATGCTAGTGAGAAAATGTCAAAAAATTAAGCTGAATAACTGGAAAATGGGAATTATTTACATGTAATATTAAGAAGGACTCCAAATTCCAAATGATCAATTCAAAATCTTTTACATTTACATTATGTTTTTCCATCAACCACCTTTCCTCATTCTCCTGTTTAACTGATGTTCAGCCTACAAAACCTTGCATTAGTAAATCTGGTGCATAGAATTGTCTTGTTTATTCTATCATTTATATGACTTTGCATTTTTTAACTGTCTAGCCTTTTCTGGAAAAGCAAAAAATACCTGATTCCCAGTGGCGAGGGGCCTTGTCCGTTGAGGACCCCTCCCTGGAGGAGATGTGCCACGGTGTAGTAAGCCATATAGATGGTGGAGTCCGACAGGGACTCAATGAGCCATTGTTCATCCCATGGCAACCGAGTTCCTATGGGAACCAAACACATAAAAGAACTCCAAAATCAAAGGTTCTCTCTAAGGAATAGAAAGAAAATTGCTGATGGTATCGCTGAGTGGTTTGGGGGCAAGGGAGGAGTGAGGAATAAGAGTATTACAAAAGAAATATGGAAGGGACTTGTCCTTACAAAAAGACTTTGATTAAGATAAGCTTCACACAAAAGCCGCCATCTGAGTTGATTTCAAAAGGATGTGTGCAAAGAAAACTTTGTGCAGTTCACCTAACTATTACATGAAATTTATATAAAAAAAAATAATCCAACAGGATGCAGGAAAACTTGCAACAAAGCTTGTTAACTACACACAGACGCACAGATAAGCCCGTCTTACCTAACCCATAGGTTCTGGAACAGGCATGCTCCTGAAGCCAAGCCAATGTTGCTTCAAAGTTCTTCCTGGTTTCGTCACAGAACCTGAAGAGCAAAGCATACAGTCAATATTCACACAATATTCATACAGCTTCTCCAGCAATAACGGTGCCACACAGCAACTTGACAATTTACACTGTAATCTCCCGATGCCACAAAGTGTGAGACTTACGTCTCCAGAGCCTCCAGGACGCCCGTGGCTTGCTTTTTCCATTCCTCATTGCCATAATCCAGATACCTGACAGATAAAGAGCCCAGTCACTGTCTGACAAGTCAAATCGGTCAGGGACGCCCACAACAAAAAAGGACTAAAACCCCCAAAGATCACAAGGATAGGGCACGATTTGATTGAACAGGAAGTGAATACACTACAAGACAATAGTGGATGTTATCATGCGTTCTGAGACAAAATAGTGCGTAGCAGCTGTGCGAGAGTGTTTTCTGCACTGACCATTGATCACACAATGCCACAACACACTCGTCTGCAGAGCGAGATAACACCTGCTTCTCTGGCTCCATGTAGATCAGCGCCTCACCCTAACAAAATGAACAAAATGGGGTTAGACGTTTTGTTCCATACTTTATTTAAAAAAAATTGTTTCCCAACTCAGCATTTAATGTTCAGTCATTAACCCTATAAAGCCTACTGTATCATACAGTGGCATGCGAAAGTTTGGGAACCCCTTGCAGAATCTGTGAAAATGTGAATAATTTTAACAAAATAAGAGAGATCATACAAAATGCATTTTATTTTTTATTTATTGCTGTCCTGAGTAAGATATTTTACATAAAAGATGTTTACATATAGTCCACAAGACAAAAAAATTGCTGAAATTATAAAAATAACCCCCTTCAAAAGTTTGGGAACCCTTGGTTCTTAATAATGTGTGTGGTTACCTGGATGATCTACCACTGTTTTTTTGTTTTGTGACGGTTGTTCATGAGTTCTGAACAGTTAAACTGAGCACTGTTCCTCAGAAAAATCCTCTGTGTCCTGCAGATTCTTCAGTTTTCCAGCATCTTTAGCATATTTGAACCCTTTCCAGCAGTGACTGTATGATTTTGAGATCCAACTTTTCACACGGAGGACAATTGAGGGACTCAAACACAACTATTAAAAAAGGTTCAAACATTCACTGATGCTCCAGAAGGAAACACGATGCATTAAAATCTTTTTGAATTTGAAGATCAATGTAAATTGTACTTAATTTGTCTTCCGGGAAACATGCAAGTGTCTTCTGTTGCTTCCGAAAGGCAGTACTAAATGGAAAAAAATCTTCATCCTGTTCAAACGTTTTCACCCCCCAGCTCTTAATGCATCATGTTTCCTTCTGGAGCATCAGTGAATGTTTGAACCTTTTTTAATAGTTGTGTTTGAGTCCCTCAATTGTCCTCAGGGTGAAAAGATGGATCTCAAAATCATACAGTCACTGCTGGAAAGGGTTCAAATATGCAAAAGATGCTGGAAAACTGAAGAATCTGCAGGACACAGAGGATTTTTCTGAGGAACAGTGCTCAGTTTAACTGTTCAGAACAAACAAGGGACTCATGAACAACCATCACAAAACAAAAAAACAGTGTTAGATCATCCAGGTAACCACACACATTATTAAGAACCAAGGGTTCCCAAACTTTTGAAGGGGGTTATTTTTATAATTTCAGCTATTTTTTTTGTCTTGTGGACTAAATGTAAACATATTTTATGTAAAGTATCTTACTCAGGACAGTACTAAATAAAAAATTACATGCATTTTGTATGATCTATCTTATTTTGTTAAAATTATTCACATTTTCACAGATTCTGCAAGGGGTTCCTAAACTTTCGCATGCCACTGTATATGATACACAAACTTAAACAAAGTTTAATACTGGTATTGCTATAAATAAATCAATATTAGTTGATCTCTAGTGATATTTATGTGCATTTTTTTATTTATTCAAATGCTGTTATAAAGAAAGTGATTTACATTACAAGCTATCAGAATTTCATTTATTTTTTTGCCATATACACATCAACAACTGCACCAAATTGCATATTTTTGCTCAATTTGGACTTCTGAATAATACCGTTTGTTTTTTTCCTCCTTCAGTATGAGTTCTATAATGTCCTATATATCATACTGTAAGGGCCAAAAAAAAAAAGTGCAAAATATGTTTTTCTTTGATTGTTTATTCTTTGTCTAAACTTGTCCACCAACCTTCTCCAACATCCTCTTCTGAATGGGCTTCTTAACATCCTGGACCTTCTGTCCCTTGAAACCCTCCACTAACATGATCTGGCAAAACAAAGTTCAGGAAAGTTGTTCAGATGTTCACATGTAGGAATAAGTTGTCATTTAGCAGATATCTAAAGCAAACACACAGTACTCCAACCAGCAACCTCAGCATCTAAAACAAGCATATTTCAGAAAGTGCCCCTACATGCATTCATCTGCGGAACTATATTAGGGAATAAAATGATGATGGTGTTCAGATGGTCTCACCCCCTCGTAAAAGCCCTTGAGGTAGACCTTCTCTTTGGCCTCAGCCAGTTTCTCTCTGTCATTCTGGCTTTGGATCTTTAGTTCATCACAAACCAGAGGAGCCGACATATTCCCATATCCTGGAATCTCAATGATGGGTACCTGGTAGAACAGAAAGCCATAAGCCACTCGAAACACACAGAATCTAGGATGTTTTGAAAAATACCTTACTCCATGAAGTAATCGGACAGGCACAGCAAGGCAAACTGCATTTTTTATAAAGTTGCCAATAGCTTATAGATAGCCAATAGACTTGATAGCTATGAAGACAAATTAATTATAGCCACTCTCTTGGAACAGCGTGGTAACCGATGTTTAACAATTTATTCTAGACCGCAACAAAAACATTAATAATTCTAATAGCATGCGATTCAAAATGAACTCTAACGTAATGCCTTTACGGATTTATTTGTTACTTTCCCAACCATGTATAATTTATGAACAAGTCATTTTTAAAAACTAATTAAATAATGAATGAATGATTACATTTATACAAAAGTGGACTCCCTTGTGATTTATGTTCTCCAATTGAAAACGTTAGATTTTGCCTACTGTTAGTATTAATGCTGCTGTTGTAAAAGCATACCACGTTTTTATTTATTAGTCAGAAAAATCACATTACATTTATAAATTACATTTTATTTCTCTGAACGGTGCAGGCCTATTCAACAGTAAGGAAGTACATTTAACTATGTTTAAATTTAAAACTTTATATAGATGAATAGTCATTTTTAAGTATATTTTGTACATATACTGTTAATATTTATTTTAACATAACATTTAAGTTCTATTTATTCTTAAATGCAGCCCTGGACTTCTCTCAAACCTCCACTGGGAGCATTGGATGGGGTCTTTAAAAATGCTTCTTACCGGCTCAAATGGTAGAACCATATAATCTTGAATTCCATACTTCTCTCTCAAAGCCTAAAAAAAAAAAATAATAATAAAAATAACAATGTTCAGGCAATTTTGTATTCGATATAATCATCTTATCTGAAATACAGTTATCTCATTGGGAATTTCCCTTGCTGAAAGAAATCAAACACAATTGTATCAAGAAAAGAAAATGAAATGATAAAATAAAAATAAAACAAATACAACACCGGTTTCTTTTTAATGTCCCTCAGAGCGGCGATATCATCAGGTGCATCTGACGGAACACTGGTGACAACTCCAGTTCCTGTGATGACAATTAGATTTCAACAAACTCCTATAATAAGGCAACTTACTTTAAATGCTCCATCTCACATTTTTTCCAAAAGTAACAGTCAAACAACAAGTGATCGATATTAACACTTCTGACATATCAATTTGGGGACGGCCCTTTCAGGGTGAAAACAGGGGCCCAGGATATAAGAAAAAGAACAACTGATGCATCACATTAGGTTGTTATATGGCGGTGCAGCCTGCGAGAACATCCATTACGGTCATCTCCATATTCCATTTCTCCTAGCTTCACTGTGCTCTGCAATGCCTAACGCCGCTTTCACTTTGGCTATTAAAAACATGCGGCATTGCCCTGCGGCCCGTTGAGAGATGCATCTAGTCTGTGCAGGGGTAATGTGATGCGACGATATTATGGGCTGGTGTCAGGTACCTTTGTCTTCTTTAATGGTGAGCATTGGCAGGGCATAAATGGTCTTGTATGAGGTGAGGGGGGCGCTCAATGCGCAGCCGAGGATGTCCTGAAAAAATGGGAGAGGGAGTGAGTCTGTAAAAGAGCAGTAAGTGTGCCATATTATTTAACTGAAAATGAATACTTGTCATAAGTTTGGTTAGGGCTGCACAAGTAATCGAATTTCTAATCGCGATTACAATTATGGACGCCACAATTACGTAATCGTTCAAAGTCCACTTATGTTATTCTGTGTGCTTAAGATGCTTTTTTCTTTCTACATGTTATCTTAAGGGTTTTTCCATTGTTTTCATTTTAGTATAACACTATAATACCATTTATATTTTAACTTTTTGTATAATTTAAAGAAGAAACCTATCCGATGTATAGTTGACATTTGAGGCTTAATACTATAGAAAAGCACTAAAGCACTGTAAAATCCAATAGTTTACCTTGCTTAGATATAATTAGTTATCTTTACTTAGTTGTTATACTTACTCGGTTTTATTAAGTAACAGCTACTTTTAAGGCGAATAAAACAACTTGCTGCAATGAGTAACTCTTACTTCAAATATTCAAGTAGCCACAACAAAACCGATGACAGTAATACACCAGTGAGAGGCAGCAGTGCGCTAATGTGTTGCTAATGTGCAACAAAACAACAGAAGAAGAAATACGGACGGTTAGAGAGCATGCGCAACAAGCAACGGTTTTTTTGAATTTGTGCGCCGAATTTGCTGAGACTGCTTGCATTTTTACCACTGGACAAAGACTGATTACTTCTATACAATAATAATAAGGTAAGTTTCAAAAAATAATTGT